CCAATTGCCCGACAGCAAGATCTGTCACCAAAACCGTAGCCTAATGTAGACACAGATGGCTATGGTTTTGCTGTGGGTTTTTGATCAAATTTGCTGCCAATCTGCGCGCAGTCTGCGCTCAATTTGCTTACTGGGACCTTAATTTTGACCTCAGCTTCAACAATAAAGCTTTCTGCTTCGATTATTAAGTATTAAATCAGTAAAATTAAATCAAATTTATTGCATTTTTCAGTACTTATTGTGTAGTATTTTGTACCATTAAAAATGATTTTGTACCTTGTTTTATTTATAAAAAATTGTGGTTCTGCTGACTTATTTTTAAGCTAACAGAGTAAATATCATTGAAAAAACGGCAAATTGCAATAGATTTTATCGTTTCTGAATTTGTACTAATTTGTACCACTGAGAAAAGTTTGCAAATATTTTTGTATACCCCTTAAAACAACCTCACATTTAACCAACCTCAAAAATAAAATTTCTTTCTTTCGATTATTAAGAATTAAATCGATAGAATCAAATTATATTTGTTGCGTTTTTTATTACTCATTGTGTACTAGTTTGTACCATAAAAAATAATTTTGTATCTCGTACTATTTAAAAAAATATTGTGGTCCTGCTAACTTAATATAAAGAGAACAAAACTGGTAAAAAACGACAAGAAATGATAGATTTTATCGTTTTTGAATTTGTACTAATTTGTACCATCAAGAAAAAATGAAAAATCGTAATCCTGCTATCTTTATAATATATTAAGTTTAGACAAGGGAGAGGTTGTTTAAAGGGGAAAATATAAAATTTTCGATTTATTTCGAATGGTACAAATTAGTACAAATCCAGTATTAATTGTGTATACCATGGTTTATTTATTTTTTTATTTTTTATTTTTTTGGTTCTGCTAGCTTGATATCAAGTTAGCAGCGCTACCATTTTTTTTAAAACAGCACGTGGTACAAATTTTTTTTGTGGTACAAAATAGTACAAAATGAGTACTAAAAAATGTGATAGGTCCCATTCGATTCTTGAGGCTGGTCAAGTTTGGAGTAGTTTTAAGAGATAAGCAGAAATATTTTGATACTTTTTTTGGTGGTACAAATTAGTACAAATTCAGAAACAATAAAATCTATCGTTTTCTGTCGATTTTTACCAGTTTTCATTTTGTTCTCTTTATACTAAGTCAGTAGGACCTCAATATTTTTTTTAAATAAAACGAGGTACAAAATCATTTTTGATAATATAAAATACTACACGATTAATGTAATTTTGTACCATTAAAAACAATTTTGTATTCCACATCCTTTAAGAGAAATCGTGGTCCTACTGACTTAATATAATATTTCAACATGTCATATTTATATGCTCTGTATATGTTATGTATGCTTTTTTATGCTCTATATATGTTTTATACCTATGCTATATATATTCTATATATACTATGATTAATATACTTTATAACTTGTTATGCCGTATTATATACGACATACTATTTCTTCGGAGATATTTTCTTATCTATACGCGTTTGTTGTTGACAAAACGACAAATTAAATTCCGACAAATTAAAGACAACAAATTAAATTAAGCTCGAACCAAAATATTTCGATTTCCCTCTAAATTATTAAGCCGAGATTCGGTTCCGAGTGTTTTGAGATTCCGCTAAACCATTAAACCGAAATTCGAGCCAATGTGTTTTGAGACTCCGCTAAATTACTAAGCCGAGATTTGAAACGAAGTGTTTTGAGTTTTCGCTAATTTATTAAGTCGAGTTAGTTAAGTCTGGGATTATTTTTTAAAGTTGCTTGAAGAAATTCTCGCGTTTGCAAAAGTGTGTTATCGAAAATGACATGAAGTCTATGTATTTCGCTTCGCATCATCTCTTGGATGGCAACGTGCCTTAAGATCACTCTATTCCCTCAGCAGCACCAAAATTTTGAAAATAATTTGCCAATATCCCAAAGTCGCGCCCATAATGTTATAGCGAATTCGGTTGCTTGCACTAGTGTGCACTGAGTGCGCACTAAGGCTTGTTCATAGTATGTTATTATATTTAAAAATTGTCTTAAATAATTCTCAAATAAATTCTCAAATATTTTTAACCATAATATGATATGTATAACATCCGTACGAATCATTTTATTAGTTAAAATGTTTTTAAATATGTATTTAAGACACGATCTTAAATATAAGAATGTACTGTAAACAAGTCTTAATGCGCACTCAATGCGCACTAGTGCAAGCTACCGAATTCGCTATTAGATCCATCGTAACACTATATACGGATTCTCGCGCATGCGCAATGCCTATTCTGCGAAAGTTAGTCATGTTAGGTTATGTCATATAGTGATATCATATAGAGCACATTTTAGGGTAATTTTTCACAGATTTTTAAAGAAATTTTCGCGGTTGTAGATGTTAAATTTCGAGAAAGACATCAAGTATGCTAATTTCGCTTTGCATCGTCTCCTGGATGACAATATGTGCTTGTGTCACTCTATATCATCCGTAGCACACTCAGAATCTTGAAAATAATTTGCCAATATCTCAATATCGCACCTATACCGTTAGATCCATCATTGTATTATATTCGGATTCTCACGCATGCGTAGTGTTACCTATTTGCGGATGGGCCGAAAGTCGGTCATGTTAGTGCAGGTTAGATCATATGATAGCATGTAGAGCACATTCTAGCTTAATTTTTCACAGTTTTTTAAAGTAATTTTCGCGATTGCGAAAGTTTAATTTCGAGAATGACATGTGTATTTCGCTTTTCATCGTCTGCTGGATGACAATGTGTGTTAGTGTCTCTCTACTCCCTCAGTAACACGTCCAGAATTTTGAAAATATTTTTCCAATATCTCAAAATCGCGTTTATAATATTAGATCGAATGTCGGACTTAGTGTCGAATGTCGGATTCTTGCTTATGGGTCGAAAGTCGGTCATGTTACTGCAGGTGATTATGTCATATAATGTTAGGATCTAAAGTACATCCTGGTATAATATTTTACAGTTTTTTGAAGTAATTTTCGCGTTTGCATAGATGTATTTTCGAAAATGATGTGAAGTTTGATTATTTTACTCTGCATCATCTCTCAGATCACAATGTGAGTCAATGTGACTCTATTCCTTCAGTAATACGCTCAGTATCCTGAAAATAATTTTTCAATATCCCAAAGTCGCGTTCACAACGTTAGATCCACTATGGCGTTCGCTTTGAGCGCTTATGCGCTGTAAGCGTCATTCTTCCCGCATGTAATGAGCGTTAAAGATAGAATGACGCTTATAGCGCGTAAGCGCCCAAAGCGAACGCAGCCTATATTTCACTATATCTTACCAAATTTTCTCGCTAAATTAAGCCGAGATTCGAACCAGTGTGTTTGGAGTCTCAGCTAAACTATTGAGCCGAGATTCGAACCGAGCTGTTTGGTCTTCGGTATTATTTGTATTATTATATATTACTAATTCCAATAAGATGAATTGTGGAGCAGATAGTGCCCTTTGAATCATTTTGATATCTTTAGTGGTTGCCAAGAAATGCCCGAAAAATGCAATTGATAGTAAAATGGCTATTAGCGACGTCGAAAAGTATGCACGCTTCCACGGCTTATTTAACGAACCGTTATTAATAGTATTATTATAGTATTAGTATTATTAGTATCATTATAAACTCTGAATTCCAACAGGATAAATTGTGAAGAACATTGTTTTCTTTGAATCACATCGATATCTTTTGTGGCTGCCAAGAAATAAGCAAGAAATATGAGCGGCATGTTTAAACTTGTATATTTATTTATTGTTTCATATTGTCCAGTTTCCAAATCGTTTTTCCTTACAAAATTACATAGAACGCAGTCCGAGAAAGACGAGACTGATGAGAGATAATCTTAGCAAGAGAGATAAGCTTTGCAATAAGTTCACCGTTAGCTTGATTCGTGCTTACATCGCGCGGTTCACTCATCAGTGGTGAGACAAGAAAAGAGCGATTGGACGTCTGTCCTTTTTTAACTTACTATCATTGTACGGAAGTACAACGGGCATGAACCAGGCACATTTTATCGTTACCACCACGAAAATGCGCCTAACGAATGTAGTAAATGCGCACTTTGTTAGATGGCGTCTTGAAAATGCGCCTAGCATTGGCCATTAAATCAAGCTAGTGGTCGCTCTCAGGCTTCTCTCTGGTAAGAGCAAATTCGGTTCGAATTAACGCGATGTCAGTGTAAATCTTACCAAAAGCCTACAATTTCTCGAAGCATTCGAATACGAATCAAATATTCAAATCATTTTGTTTGTACAGTTGTACATTGTGGACACGACGTAATAATATTAAAAGACGTCGCATTTGATTTTTCAAAGATTAGGTGGATTGTGTGATTGGTTGGCTAGCGTTGCGCTGAGCGTATCGGTATGCTTCGAGAAACTTAATCGCGGTAATGTTCAGCTCGGTACGGAATGGCCGCGGTGCAATTGCGTGGGTTCGTGGGATCGTTTCGTTTTCGCATGGTTCAGCTTGTCGAAGCAAGCGTACTGAATATCGTTCCCGAGAGTGTCGAATGTAAGTGTCGCGCATTGACAGAATATCGTGAATAATCACGGGACGGATTGTGCCGATAGGACTGCGCGAGAGGAGCTTCGTCTTTTCTAATGGTTCGCCTTGTAGTCGAAGGAAAGTGATGAGTGCCAGCAGGAGATTCTAGCAAATGTGATCCACGAATCTTAGGTCTATTTGTTTTCGAAGAATTTCTGCTCTGATGCACGTCAGAGCGGAACAAATAAACTTTCTTTCACTTTAACTTATTGCACCGGTATGCACTAGTTCAGAAGTTCTTCGGGAACGAACAGATCTCTTATCTGCCGAAACATGTTTTTCGTTCGGAAATTCACTAATCCACCTAGGTTGCATTTCAAAACGTCCTTTTTGAGGAAATTTTATTCGATGCTTTATAGTATATGTAACGTGAACTGTAGATATTGAGTAAAATGTTCCTCAAAAAGGATGTTTTGGAATGTACCTTAGAATATAAGAGAAAGGGCGCATTGCTCTGGCGCCAAGGATTGCGATAAAGACGATGTATAAGTGATAGGAAGAGTTGTACTTTGTAAGTTGAAGATTACTCTTATATCGATAATCAACATACGTACTTATGACAAAATATTCATATTTGATAGAAAGATGAAAAATGAGGGAAGTTTGTCAAATAATTTTTTCTGTTCGTCTTTACCATCACTTACCGACTGAAAAGCTTACGAGTTTCACCATCGTGTGGCTCTATAGGAACTACTTGCGTGGTCGTTTGCGTCATGTTAGGTTTGTTTCTTACACGCCGAATGGATTGAGATTTTTTTCTTCGAGATAGAAGCTTTAGAGAGTGTGAAGTGCCGGGAATAATACTTTAGATTAATAAATAAATCGTTGAAATAAAAGTGCCAAAAAATTATTCGCAATGTCGGATACATCAGAGTGTCATTCGTCCGATGAAGAGGTAAAGTATCACGAATTATGTTTACATTCGTTCATGCATCATGCGTATCCTAACCTATTTCAACCTCTTTTTAATCACGTGGCTAGCTGCAAGCGATTTTTGCAAAGAGATTACTGAAGCCAGGTCTTAATGTCGCGATTGAAACAAAGCAATTCAAGAATCGTGTCGTAAGTAGTCAACTTTTTCGTTACAGATAATCACGATAATGTTTACTTTAATTTAACCTAATCTAACTTCCTCCTTAAATAACTCGCAGAATCTCATGAAGCAAAAGTTGGACGAAATCAAGCTGGACTTGCCATGGATTGAGAGGTTAGATATGGTGAATGCACCAGCACCATTGGCACCTGAGTTAGCGCTGCAGATGCAGGAGCAAGAAGTGAGACACTCTAAGCAGTTGAAAGGAAACAAAAAGCTACCGCAGTATGAGCCATCAGAAGATCCTATTTTAAATGATTTTCGCAGGGAAACTATGTTTCATCGTCAAGCTCAAGGTGCCGTTATGGATGGCATTGCTAGATTAAAGAAACTCAGAGTGCCAACACTTAGGCCAGATGACTATTTCGCAGAGATGGCCAAAACTGATCAGCACATGCAAAAAGTGAGGGATAATCTGATGAAGAAACAAGTTATTGCTCAGAGATCGGAGAGAGTCAGGCAACTGAGACAACAGAGGAAGATAGGCAAGCAAATGCAAGTTGAGGCAACATTGAAGAAACAAGCAGAGAAGAAAAAAATGCTTGAAGAGGTCAAAAAGTATCGTAAGGGTATACGACACGATCTTGATTTTCTCGAGGAAAAGAAGAATGTACAACATAAACAGCAGAATCGCAAGATAAATCCAAAGGTGCAATTAAAAGCAAAAATGAAGAATGATAAATATGGCTTTGGTGGTAAAAAACGCGGCAACAAGCGAAACACAAAGAGTAGCTCTGCCGACGTTTCCGAGTACAGACGGCCTCAGAAACCTGGGAAACGAGGAACGAAGGGCAAAGGAAATCAGAGGTTAGGAAAGAGTCGTAGGATGCAAATGAAAGCTAAGAAGAAATAATGAAAGGTTTCCTTTTTTAATTACAATAATCTCAATTTTCCTAGACCTTTTTGCATATAACGAAAATCAGAACAACAACGTAATTAAAGCCTCGCGCTTAATAAAATGTTGCTCAATAAAATATGTGCTTAATAAAATATTTCTCGTCTTACCTATTTTCCGAAAGATCCGACAAAGCTTCGCAATACCGCTAAAACGCGCATCAATTGTTTTTCTCGTGAGAAAACGCAAATTTTCGTCGCGATACGCAGACACATTCGGAGAATTATATTAAACGCGCGGTGCGAATTTGCATATCGTGCTCGTTGCAATTTTTGTCTCGCGGCGACCGCGATAATTAATGGACATCGCATATTTTACACTAATGCGTGTACACGTAATAATTCTGCTAGGACTGAATATTTCGATAATAACACCAATCGATGATACATACATTGCGTATTAATGTTACGTATTAATGTTACAATTACGTGTTATGAGCGTGTGAATCGAGATCGTCTCCCGTGAATTAAAATTCGACTTTCCACGGTCGTTCGTATTATCGTGCGCGCAACAGTGATTCTGTTTTGTGAAAATCCGCGTAAAAAGAATCACTCCTAAACATCCACATAAAACGATAGCGGGGGACGGGAAGGGGCGCGCCTCTCTCTCAGCGACGAAATTCGCGCAGCATCAGAATTCGATCACCTAACACATGTTCCGCATTAGACAATCCGTTGTATGTACACGGTGCTACACGCATAGGATGCCGATTATATCGTCTATTACACCGCGTCGTCCCGTGAATCGCGCGCACCGATGCATACGTATGCGAGCGCGACGCTCATCTCCCCGTGCCGGGCGGTCCGGCTATCCGTCGGCGGTTGATCCATCGATGGATATATCCCGATACCGATAATGATCCGGACCTGTCGTCGTTCCTCGTAGACCGGCGGGTATCGTTCGGCGGACGTGCCGTGGCTGGCGCAGATTGAAAATTCGAGGCAGCGCGGGGCGCCGTACGTGCAGCTACACAAGCGCACATATAAGGTGAGCCGAGAAAGAGAGAGAGAGAGAGAGAGAGAGAGAGAGAGAGAGAGTGAAACACGAGATACGATAAAAAAGGAAAATGACGCCTTATCATTCTCCGCTGTGATGTATCCGTGTCTAATTAAGAAGTCAAGGGCGATCGGTACAGACGTAGTCTTGAAGTGTGGGGAGAGTATCCTCTCTAAGCATTCACTAACGGGTAGTAACTCGAAGGTTTCTACTTCTCCGTCGCTATTACTCGGTATGAAATCCGGTGGCAGTTCAAGATCATATACGAATTCCGTATTAGGAAACAGACCCCTCTCACTCTCGAAAAAGAACGACACGCAACCGGCGCTCTTGAGCTTAGCAATAAGATTATTCGGAATTCTAGCTTCTTTGAATGCCTCTTTTATCGCGGTTTCGTTTATGCCATAACCAACAGTCAATCCGCCGCTCACCACGCTGTCCCAGTATGCCGGCCACGTTTGTTTGTTAGGACTACGCTTTTGTAACCATATTGACAAACCTTTGACAGGATCCATTACATAACCATTTATATTCACTCCGTATTTCCGAATGCCGAATAAGCCTGTCATTTTTAAAACAGTATAATTGATATTCAATTGCATAGCATGAATATTGTAGCAAACAACAAATTTTTGTACATACATGTGGCTGAGCGATCCATCTTAAGCAGTGGGATGGTATTAAACTGAGCTTGAACTTCATGACATTCCTCCCTCCAGCCACGTAGTGTTATGAATTTTCCACCTGCTTTCCATTCTCTCAACACTTCATCGACACGTGCACTTCTCTCTGCATAATCTCGAAAGGCTGGGTTTAGTTGCACGTATTCTGGTTGCACTTGGAATACCTTGAAAATTGATGATACATCATAAACATAGGTGTATAAGTATAGAAGTTTATTTCAAGAACTACTGAATTAGATTAATAAGAGGATAAGTGGAACAAGTATACTTTCTTTCATTCTAACTTATTGCACTAGTTCAGAAGTTTTTTGAAAACAATCCTCAGATTAACAAATTTGGGAAACTCTCCTCAAAGTTCAGATTGTATTTTCTTAAATAATAGTCAAACAGACTCAGTTTGTTTATATGGAAGAAGAAGAAAACATTGTTGCTGTTATACGCAGCGTTATACAGGGTGTCCCGAAGTCCCATGATGACCCTTGGTGAGAACGTAGAACGGATTGAGGTGAGCAAGAAAGTCCTGTGCCGTTTTGCGATATTCGCAATAGTTTTTGAGAAATTAATTATTTTGTCTCAACAAATCAGCGTACAGAAAGCGGCAGCGGAAAGAAAGATGCCTTCGGCCGACGTGCGACCGTGACACTCGCGAATCGTATCTCGCCGCATCCCTCCGCCCATAGCTACGAGACATAGACTCGCTATGTCTCGTAGCTATGGGCGGAGGGATGCGGCGAGATACGATTCGCGAGTGTCACGGTCGCACGTCGGCCGAAGGCATCTTTCTTTCCGCTGCCGCTTTCTGTACGCTGATTTGTTGAGACAAAATAATTAATTTCTCAAAAACTATTGCGAATATCGCAAAACGGCACAGGACTTTCTTGCTCACCTCAATCCGTTCTACGTTCTCACCAAGGGTCATCATGGGACTTCGGGACACCCTGTATGTAACATACATGTAATGTTGATCTCAGGTGAAGCATGATGCATCGCATATATATATATATATATATATATATATATATATATATATATATA